GTGAAAAGCGGTAAGCGGTGGTGGTGGTGGTGATAGTGGCGGAAGTTGGTGGTTGTGACGATCCTGGATTTTATAAACCCAGTGTGTCCTGTGATGACCTAAAACGGATCCAAAATACGAAAGCTAAACATGAACAAGCCTATAGAGATGTACATCATCCCTAAGACATAAGAACGACCTTCTGAGGAGTCCCGTGACTCAGAGGAAGCAAGACCGGAGTTAGGGTTTCAAAACCCTCCAAGGAATGGACAAAGGGCAAAATGGTCATTCTAAACTGAAATGGGTACCACCATGCACACCATTGGAAATAAAACAAAAAATTAATAAAGATGAACTCAAGAATCACTTGATTTGGAGTCCAGATGACAAATATATCAAGTCCCGAAGTCGAAGGAGGGAAACCCCATCCCGGTTTGAACCAAATCCTGACACTACCTCACTAAAACTTGAATATCTTGATGTACAAATGGAATCTGAAGCTCTACTTGGTACCATTGGAAATCATATTTCGATGCGGTCAATTTAGACTCAAGAACGGAGCAAATCGGAGTTAAAACGAAGAAGATAATACAATTTGAAGTCGGAGGTACAATGCTGAACCAAGACACACACACACACACACACACGGACGAGCGCTCGTCCAAGGGTGATGAGTGCTCGTAAATGGGCATGCCTAGGGCAGTACCCACTGCCCTAACTACGAGCGCTCGTCCCCCATGGACGAGCGCTCGTCTAGCAGACAAACATAACAGATTTTTGGACTTTAAATGCAATTTTGAGGACTTTTGGGACCTTTTTGAAAAAAAAATATAAAGAATAAACCCCTCCCAAAATTATGTTTTCTAACCAACCATGCCAAAAGAAAACTTTATTTTTCATATGAAAACTCCAAAATGCCCTTATGCACGGTTTTTACAAAAGAAAAGTGAAATAAGTCCATAGGAGGCTCATCTCACCAGGGAAGGAGTTTTGCCCGGAAATGATCATACACGCAGATGTAACTTACTTATTGGGACATACTACAATGATCCACAGCTTAAAAATACCACAGATGCAAAATATGACCTACCCAAAGCCCCGTGCAGGAAAAAATGTCATTCAAAGGCAAAAAATGCGATAACTGTACCTAAATGCAATCAAAAGACCATTTGGCCCTTGGCCACACTTCATGCATTATAAATGAGTTCTAGTGGAGGTACTCGTGCACACTTTGCACCACCCGATTTGAAAATGAACCCTTAAAGGCTCGAATTTTCCTATTTTACTCCAAAAATACAATATATGAAACTAAATTGCAAAACCTAAAACAAAAAAGGTGTTTGGCCCTTGGCCACACCTCATATATGATAAATGAATGCCAAATGATGAATTTCACACGCAATGCACGCACTGGTGCAAAAATGACATGCTAAAACCCTAGTTTTTATACTTTTCTCATTAAAGGTAAAATTTAACATTTTTCAATATACATGGATTTTAAATAAAGTTTAGCCCTTGGCCACATATCATATACATGAAATAAACGTCAAAAAGTGTGCTTAGGCACACATTACAAGTCCAAGGCAAAAAATGACATTTTAACCTAACTATGCATTATAACTTTAAAAGTAAAAATCAAACATGCTAACACTTGCATATGAACATGAATACACTTAAAAGAACTTCAATCCATCGAAACGACCTTGGGAAGTTATGCATCCCAAACCAAGACATTCGTACCTGAAAACAAACCGATAACTTTGGGGTGAGTAAACAAATTACTCATAGGGAATGAGTATGCAAGGACCTAACTTTTTACAAGATCTTCACATTAATGTGAAACAATTCAAAAGGGTCATACCACTTAACGACTATGTCAAAAGTGGGACTAAGGGATCATCTCAAGCTACTCATGCAATTGAAATGAACCACGACAAGTATACATGCTTAATTATACAAAACAAGGTTGAAACATGATATACGGCATATAAGCATACATTTACAAGTATGTTAAAACATATTAAACAAGTTATGCAATGTCCAAGCATACATACACAAATCTACAATTAATATAGAAAACTCGTGAATCCGGTATCAAGCACAAGTATACAAGTTGAAAGAAATTATGCATAAGATAAGTATACATGGCATAAGTACACAAAAAATAAGATTCGATTACACAAATCAGACATACAAGGCGTAGGTATACTAGATAGAGTTTAGATACACAAACGAAGATACAAGTTCAAGTATGCTAAATGTGATCTAAATACATAAGGGAAGCATCAATTCTCAAGTTACAAGTAATCCACGATTAACAACTTAAAATTAAATACGAAATCAAATAGTGGAAAGATTAGGACATACGGTCGTTAGACCAAGCAAGTATTTTCGGGTAATTACGACCCACAAGGTACCACCTAGTGCGCATTTATGACTTAGAAGACTCTTGTCTCCGTACTAGAGCCAAACCCTAGCCATCACATAAATTATGTCCTCACAAGCTTTTCAAAATTAATAAGTTCAAAACTTACACAAAATCAAATGCAAGTTACCACATTCCATGCACAAGTAAGGTTGAATCCACACAAACCATGTCCTAGAATTCAAGTTTAAATAACATATGACATGTCAAGTCTTCAATATGTAATTTATATACAAAATAAGAATATTTTACAACAATTGTACCAAATTACTATCTTAAGCCACAAGTACTAAATAAGCTATAATTTAGTATCTACCTTTCAAGGTAATCAATTGTAATATTCTAAACAAGCTATATACCTACATAAGATATACTTAAACAAGCTAAACAAGATAATGATATTATATATTATGCTGAGTCCAATTACTATTTTAAGAGGCCAAAAGTACAATTCTACATCAAATTAATAATATGCTCACAAGGTAATTAAACATACTAAGTTTCAAGAGGTTATCAACCTAATATGAAAAGTCTCTAGATTTCAAATCAATTTCGAATAGACTTAATTTAATATATGTTAAAGAACATACATTACTCATTACATATATCAAGTCAAATATCAATTTAAATGAATGTAACACTTAAATAGAAATTAATTAAACTAACTAATTAATTTCTTTAAAATTTAAATCAACTTCAAATAACTCCAAATAATTATATGTTAATGGTACTATCATGGTAATCACATATATTAACTCAAAAACTTAATTAAGTAAGTCAAACAATTAAATAGAAATTAATTAATTCTAAACAATTAAATCTCTAGATTCTAAAATAACTCCAAATGACTTTATACTAATACAAGTTATAGATCAAGTCATGGCATTTAAGAAAATTATGTCCTAACTTAATTTTATGTAAGGCATAACAGCCTACTAATTTAAAATTAAGTAAAAGACATGTAAACAATTTATAGTAAACTACAAACAATCAAAACACTTAGACTATAAACCTTAATCACGCCCTATCTCACAAGAGGATTGTTCCTATTGAATCCAAGGGAAACAAAGGAATTTCAAGTTTTCCTTTAAGGGTTATGAAGAGGAAAGTGAAGCAAAGTTTTTGTATTCCAAGCTTTATGGTCAAAGGTGGTGGAAGAGAATCAAAATGAAGCCTAAAATTCTAAGCCAAGCTTTTCCTTCAATGGTGGCTAGGTTAGGGTTTGAGAGGAAGGAGATAGAATAAAATTAAAATGAAAACCCGAAACTAATTTTGGTGAAATCCTCCACTCACTGTGTATTCTTACACTACCTCACACACACACACTATTGCAAGACTAAAAATGGAGCCTACACTTGTCACCATCCTAAGTAACCATCCGAGGCTTAATATTAAGCATACACTTATCAACCATCTAAGCCAACAAGTGTGCATATTCTAGGTCAACAAGTGAGTGAATCATCACCCTCCACATGTCATCATCCAAGGCTTCCAAGGACAACCAATGAGATGCCTACAAGTGGGCCAATGAGAGTGTGACACTTGTCACACTTTTCAGAAATTGTAAAAAGGTCCTTTACCAAAATATCTTCCAATTTAAATTGCAAAATGGTCCCTAGGATAAAAAATAATTATTTTATTTAATTACACTAAAACCCCAAAAATCAAGAATGTTTCTGAAAAAATTATGCATTCATGCCCTTTACATAAAAGTAAGCAACTAGCATACTTTTTTACAAAAGTAAAAATACATAATATGTAATTTAAATATCGTGGATGCATGCAAAATCGGAATCAAATCCGAGTACGAAAAGTGAGGTTGTGCCAACAAAGTGACAAACGGGAAAAAGACGAAAAGTGAATAGTGTTCAAAAAATGAAAATGTAGAAATGACTCGGTCCTTAAAGGAAGTTGTCAATGCAAAGAAAAGAGTCTCGGAGCCATTTCCGAGCACTCGAGACGACACTAAGTGTTGAGTAACCGAACTCAAAAAAGAAAATTCAACGAAAAAAAAATTTATCGGTAAAATTTGAGAAAAATGAAAGGAATGAAAATGACCAGGTCATTACAGTGGTGGTGGTGAAATGCGGGGGTGGTTGTGGTGAATGGTAGTGGTGGTTTTTGGAATTGGAATACGCTAATTTTTTGGGAAGTTGATTTTTTTTTAAAAAAAAATTTACTTAGGACTGGAATGCTTATTCCATAAGTTTAGTTGTGGAATTAATTTTTATTCCCGCGAATGAATTTTCATTCAAATGAAATGATCATTCACACTTAAAATTACATATCAAACAAAAGAGTAGTTGGAATGAGCATTCTATTTTATTTCATTTCTATAAACTATTTTTGCACACCAAACGTAACATTAGTGAATTGCATTGCTTCAATAAAACAATCTCAAACGTACCACTAACTGCATTCTTATCATACTTTCACTATATATTGTACCACTGCATGTGTTGAATCTGAATCATCCCATGACTGATCCTTTTTTGAAATCTGTCTCCTGCTAAAAAAAAATGTTCCAAAACACTTCTTTGATTTCATGATACTTTTTTTATTTTGTCCTCGACAATTCAGGATCAAACCACCTAATGGTTGGACAGTACAGAAGAGGTGATTTGCTGCTTTTTGTTGATTCACAGTATACACGATAAATTATTACATGATTTGAAACGACATAAATTATTTACGCTCTACTGTAGAAGATTTTTTTTTTTTTTTTTTCAACTCTACTGTAGAAGATCGGGCTCAAAAAATTAGAAAACTTTATGTTTTTAGGGAGAGAATCCTCTCTCTTTCTCAGAGATATTTGGTAGTGCTTAAAATGGGCAGAACTTTTGCTGAAGCCCACCTTAAGAAGGACCAGCTGGTTCCTGAGGCTGCCACGTAGCACATGTGCTGTTGGTTCATCAGTTTGACGTGGCAAGCATTGGGAGCTTAAAAATTTAAATAAATAGGGCTTGTGTTATACCCCCTCAGGTCTCTCTCCATCCTCTCTACTATTACTTCACCCCATTCTCTCCCTCTCTCTTACATCCAAATTTTCCGTCACTATTTTCTCAATCTACTTTTCTCTTCCCTTCTTTCTCGAGAAAATCCCAGGAAAAAAAAAAAAATGTCACGGTTTGCTGGAAGAGAAACTACAAATAATGGAGACTCATCCGACAATCCACAACCCCCCAAACACTCCCCTCATGATCCTCGTGACTTTCAATCCATAATGGCTTCATGTTTTCCCATCACCCTCAAGGTAAATATAAATATATATATATATCAACTTCACATACATACACACACAAAACACACACATATACATATACAGGTTGACTTTCGCATGAAAATGTAATGACCCGTTTGACTATTGAGTTGACTTTTTTTTTTTACTGTATGTGTGTTTACAGTTCATGGACGTCTGTTACAAGGTAAAGAAAGAGAACAAGAGCAGGAGCTGTATTACACAGATGTTCACAGGTGGGCCCACTACATCTTCCGATGAAAGATCAACGGCCACAATTCAAGAACGAACGATTTTGAACGGGATCACAGGAATGGCGTACCCAGGAGAAATCCTGGCCGTCCTGGGCCCATCAGGGAGCGGCAAATCAACGCTCTTGAACGCGCTTGCAGGGAGACTTAATGGTCACGGCTTCACCGGATCAGTCCTCGCCAACAACCGCAAACCCAGCAAATCCGTGTTGAAACGGACCGGGTTCGTGACTCAGGACGACGTCCTCTACCCCCACCTCACCGTCCGCGAAACCCTAGTCTTCTGCTCCCTCCTCCGCCTCCCCAAGTCCCTCTCGAGGAGAGAGAAAGTGTCTCTCGCCGAGTCGGTGATCGCCGAACTGTGTCTCTCGAAATGCGAGAACACCATCATTGGGAATGCGTTTGTGAGGGGTGTGTCCGGAGGAGAGAGAAAGAGGGTGAGTATAGCTCATGAGATGCTTGTGAATCCGAGTCTGCTGATTCTGGACGAACCCACTTCGGGGTTGGACTCGACGGCGGCGTACAGGGTGGTTGCGACGCTGGAGGCGGTGGCGAGGAAGGGGAGGACGGTGGTGACGTCGGTGCACCAGCCGTCGAGTAGGGTGTACCAGATGTTCGAGAAGGTGGTGGTGCTGGCGGAGGGGAGGTGTATCTATTTTGGGAAAGGGAGTGAGGCCATCAGCTACTTTGAGTCTGTTGGGTTCTCGCCGTCTTTTCCAATGAATCCTGCGGATTTCCTGCTTGATCTCGCTAATGGTACGTAATATTTCTCTCTCTATATGTATATGCAAATATATATGCATTCACAAAAATATATATGTATATGTATATGTTTTGTTTGTATATACAGCCTCAGCCTCTAGTTTAGTGGCATGTATAACTTTTTTTCACGTTAGAAGTTGACAGCGCGCATATATAAACGTTGTCTCTATATGTGTGTATATATTTGTGTTTTTTGATTGGGTTGTTTGAATTCACTCCGGTAACAATATCGTTAGTCACTAGTGGTTGAATCTCATTTTGTATATAGTTTTGTATGGTGGCTTAGTTCATTTTCATTTTTAAGACCCTTGCGGTGTGTTTGGAATGGAAAAATTTTGGAAGGGAAAATGAGATAGAATTAAAAAAAAATTTAAAACATTAAAGGGTTATATATATACTTAAAATGGAAAGGAACTTTTGGGTTATATTAATTTATATATAATTCGAATAATAGTTGTACTTCTACCTTTTGAAAATCCGAAATTTTAGATAAAATAGAGTGTAAGGAAATAAAGTAAGAGAAATAGTGGAGCTTGTTATATGCCAATAAATAATACTATTAGAATGGAATTACAATTTTTTTTTTCTTTCTGTTTACTCCATAATCTTTGAGTGTGTGTGTGTATATATATATATAAATAAAGAAGACAGAAAGGTTTTTTTCCTTTATAATTATCCAAACAATTTGAAACAATTTATCATTCCTTTTCCCTCCTATATATTTAATCAATCCTTTTTCTCTTCCCTCCTAATTAATATACTTTTTTTTTCTTAGTTCTACTCACACTTGCCCCTCCCCTATAAAAAAATTGCCCACTTATTTATACTCAACCACTTTTCTATTCGGATCCAATGGACCACCCTGCTTACCCTGGGTGAAAACTCGGACTCCATTCGGGTCAGAGGCTTATCGTGACACCGGATTAAGGACTGATCTAGTTCTAATACCAACTGTAACAGATGAACGTTTGTCCACTTACTCAAAAGCTCAAGCTATTGGGTAGTACTGCACACTCACCCATTTATATCCACTCAAACTTTCATCTGAATCCGATATAAGATAAATGACCCACAATGACCCTTATTACACATACCCACTTAAACCAACAAGATTAATATACTTCCATTCCCTTTTTTTTTTTTTTCCCAGTTGTTTATTCAAAATCTAACTTAAATGCTCAAACCAACTCATGAGAAAGAAAAATATATAGCATTGAATGGTGAAGTCATTACGAGTGATTAAAATAGCAAAAAGTGCAGTGGTCCAATGACTGAGCAGCCACAAACAGCCTGAACTCTCCAATTAAAACAGGATGCCCCACTTACTTCTCCATCTTCATCTTATCAATATACCAAGTTTGACCATGGTCTACTTTGATTTTTTTGTCCTCTCCATAAAATCAACTTAGCTTTTTTACTTAAGAAAAAGCAACAAAAAGAGAGAAGAAGAAAGTATTAAACATATGAACATAGATGTGGATTTATATATATATATATATATGTTTAGATTTGAGTTAGTGGGAAAATAATGTTCTATCGCAACCCCACGTGTCGATATAAATTGAGTTTGGCCAACTTAACTTAATTTATTCTATATATATATATATATAATAATATTATTAAATAATAATAACAATATACGAGCTTCTAGTGTATTTATAGCAGAATTTCCACTTTAGGATTTTCGAGATTATTAATGTGCGTGTCTTAAAACTCGGGAGGGTGCGATTAGATAGATCCGATCTAGTTTTATAAAGAGCACACGGGTATTTCAATGCATCGATTTAGATACTAAGTTGGAAATGTAGGAAAAACGATATAATAAGGTAATCTGCCAAACATTTAGTGCTTGGTGCTTTCCCAATGGGCAGTGTATTCATGAAAATGACTTGTGTGGATGAAGAATAGATATTGAGTGTACGAATATAAAATAATATAATATATTAATTTATTTGAATCGTACACATGTAATACGTACGCATATAATATGTGTATGTACATCATATGTAATATTCAAATAAATTTGATGTGACATCCAATACCGTGAGTTTCAAATTTAGTACATTGGATTGAATTGATAATGTTATTTAATAGATTCAATGGAACCAGGATGTGAACGTTCATAGTGAACGCCCTCATTGTGACTTTATCCAAAAATATGTATTTGAAAGTAATAAATGGATGGGACCTACTATAATTATATAGTTATATAATATAGGGAATAATGGTCTCATGGACTATGCATAAAATCCAATTACATATATTCACATTACCTACTTTTTTATTATAAAATATTGAATTATTTTGAGTATATTATATGAGAGATAGAAACATAAGTTCAAAACATAGCATCATTGAATTGACCTATTATTGGAGGATTGTGATGGTGACATGTTATGGTGTGCTTTGGGAAGAGGATCCTTTCTCTCTCTCTCTCACACGCGCCCGCACACACTTATCTTTGGACTTTGGGGTCTGTATTTGGTGTGATGCCCTTCCTAGACTCCATACTTGGAATTTGTTGTATCCTTTTCTATAAGATCTTTACCATTTATTGAAGATTTTTAGTTTACTAGGTATGGAGGTTGTGTTGGCTTTCATATCAAATACATCTCATTGTCCCATAAGGAGCAAGTAAAATTATTAAGTAGTATTTATATAAATTAAGTTTAATTTATATATAATATTAGTAGAGAGAGACTATCGAGTTTCATAAATTTAATTATTCGTATAATCCGAAAGGTCGCTTTACGTGTGGTCAAATTTTTTTTTATGAGTGCTTCAAACACATACGTAACCCATGATATCATGAATCAAATAATTTAAAATACTTTTATTGCAATAGTATTTTACAAATGTGGTCCAGTAATTTTTAGAGTTTAACAGTGTCACTAAATATTGTGTATCTAGTGATAAACGGGTGTCATCTCAGTAGTTGTGGCCCCACAACAACATATGTGGTGGGCCCTACAATTATATATGTGAGGCAATCGACTATCCGTTGCGTATAATTTTCCACCTAAAAACCTTGGATTTGGAGTTCAAGGCTCAGATACAAAGTGCTCTCTTATTTGATGCATGTTTATCAATCTTTTTAATTTCCTAAGAGAACATTGGTGGAACCAAGTCCATGGTTTTAAAATAGAGATGCAAAGTGAATGTGGGGGTGTGTTGACTTGGCATTATCTTTATAAAGATTGTGAAAGCCTTAAACGTATGCACCTTTAAAACACTTGGATGATGCTTAATTTACTATTTATTTATTAGTGGACACAATTATGGTAATGTGGATTAAGAAAAATGTGATGAGATTGCGCGTGAGAAAGCATACATCTTTTAGGACATTCTAGCAACAAGAAGTTGACAGTTCCACTAGCTTCCTCAATATATATATATATATATATAGTCCCTCCTTATATATACACACATATATATGTGTACATGATTAATGGGTGATCTTAGATATTTGATTTGCCAAATTATTTTTTGTGGACTACATATAGTTTTTTCCAATTTTGGTGGAAGACAAAGGTGTATAAAATTAATGAATGATTATAACTTGAGTCACATCTAATATTCGTCCACGTCAAGGATTAATTGTTGCATCATACATGTCCAAAAGGGAAAGACATTAGATAGTGCCTTGACTAATATGTACTTATAATATATGTGTGTGTCTATCCATCACTGGTTGCGCAATTTCTTTTTCCTTTTTCTTTTTCTTTTTTTCCAACTATTCCTTTACATACACTTGTCACACTTAGACTCAACTTACGGAGCTTCTCTCTCTTTATATATATATATATATATACACACACACACGCAGATGACTTTTCCTTATGTCAAACTAGGATATATTAATTGATAACACCCACGTGTTAGGATGGTCTGTATTCTTGGCACCAAAGTGAACATTTAGGGTTTGAATTGAGAAGAAAGAAAACAATGGGGGATGGCCGCCCAACCCATAAGGAATAGGAATGCAGCAATAAGTTGAGTGGACTCCCACCCTACCACCAACATTGGACAGCTTTAATTTGCTATGTTGTGCTACTTATTACTTGCTATATATGTATATATATATATATATATATATATATATATAATAATAATATATGTCCACACTCCACTACTACTTACGATGTCAAATTACTAAACTAATAAATAATATTCATTATTTAATTTCAAGTGCGATAGCCACTATGCTCTGTAAAGTTTGAATCAAAATTAGTTGGATTTGACCATTTTAATAATTGATCTCTATGAACATTTTTATTCTTTCTATAATGGTGCATATGTCTTTCCTTTTCCATCATGCTACACAATCTGTTATGCTAGTGAATGCGTGTACGTCTGTCTTATAAAGAGAACACTTTCATGTAGAGTTGAGTTCTAGTGGTGATGTTGTAGACTATGGTTTTGAGAGTCCTATACTTCTTATCCCTCTTGCTTGATTGTGAACTCCAATATAAAACCGAATCTTTTATTACCCAGTGAAATATTTTCAACTAATTTGAAACCTTACCCACAAATATATATATATATATTAATGTATGTATATATATAAGGATTATGGATGTGTCTCGATAGCACAATGAATTAGTGGTTTTGGTGAATTTTTTTATTTTTTTTCATTGACAATACTTTAGTTTGCTTATCAATCAGGAAATTAAAGTCAGTGATGGTCCGTCACTTTTAATATTTTTCCATATTTTTTTCGTTGTAATACATATTTCCTAATTAGGACTATATGATAAATCCTTAGACTATTATCTTCACTTCATAGTACAATTTTGTAGTAGTATGTAGTGGGCATTTTGAGTTATGTCATAGGAATGTATTGGTATCTGCAGAACCAAGCTAGTCACCTACAAAAAACCTCAATTTGTTCCAATATTTATCAGTTCTTTTCCCTATCTCTATATAGACTATTGTAATATATATATATATATATATGTACTATTCTTGAGTACTTAATGTCATCATCTTCTTTTAACTTTGTGTAGGTGTATGCCAAGTTGATGGACTAAGTGAAAGAGAGAAACCCAATATCAAGCAATCACTTGTGTCTGCTTACAACAATTTGCTAGCTCCATTGGTGAAAGCTGCATGTATGGACACCAACACAGTTATAGCTCCCAATGACATGACTAAGCTCACCCAAACCCATCCTCATGACGAATGCAGAAGAAGCACCAGAGGAAGCATTGTCACTTGGTTTGATCAGTTCACCATTCTCCTCCAAAGAAGCCTCAAGGAGCGAAGACACGAGACCTTCAACTCTCTCAGGATCTTCCAAGTCCTTGCAGCCTCGTTCCTAGCCGGTTTCATGTGGTGGCACTCAGACTATCAGGACATTCAGGACAGGCTAGGCCTCCTCTTCTTCATTGCCATCTTCTGGGGTGTCTTCCCATCCTTCAACGCGGTCTTTGCCTTCCCACAGGAACGCGCCATCTTCATGAAGGAGCGCGCTTCTGGTATGTACACGCTCTCCTCCTACTTCATGGCACGCATTGTTGGAGACCTGCCCATGGAGCTCATCCTCCCTACAATGTCTTTCACCATTGTCTATTGGATGACGGGGCTAAAACCGGATGTGGGGGCTTTTCTTTTAACCCTAGTGGTTCTCCTCGGTTATGTTTTGGTGTCTCAAGGGCTTGGACTAGCTCTTGGTGCAGCTATCATGGATGCCAAACAGGCCGCAACTATAGTGACTGTCACGATGCTAGCATTTGTGCTGACAGGAGGGTTTTATGTGCACAAAATGCCAACTTACATAACTTGGATTAAGTACATTTCCAGCACTTTTTACTCTTATAGGCTTTTTATTCATGTACAATATGGGGAAGGGGAGAAAATCTCGTCTCTACTCGGTTGCAACCGCTATGGAAGCAGCAACAATCCGAGCTGCAAATTCATTGAAGAAGACTTGGAAGGTCAGATTCATCCGGCAATGAGCGTGGGCGTCCTCCTTGTCATGTTTTTCGGGTACAGGTTGCTGGCCTATCTTGCGTTGAGGCGTATCAAAGGTTGAATTGTATGACAATTTCGCGACTCTTTGGCCTTTTGGGGTTGTTTTTCTTCATTAGACCTTACAAAGTAACATTATATTTCGAATGCCGATGATCGAATGATGCTGAAAGCTGAATTTCGTTAACTCTGATGGGAAGGATGCTTTGTGGTAATAGGCATATTGGGTTCACATTAACAGTTATTTTAAGTATCAAGGAACTCTCAGACTCTGGTAAATGTAAAGATTGAGCAGAGCGTGTTTTTTTTTTTTTGTTTCTTTTTATTAATGTTATTCACTTGCAATGTCTTTCAATGAAAACTAGAATTTATTAATGTTCTTGTTATGGAGTAAAGAAATCAATTCCTCTAACTACTATAATTTGCCAAATATGGATTCTACATATGCAGATACGTTTTAAGAAATATCATACAATTGTAGTAATTGTTATGATTGATTGCAAAGCCAGTCATAACCTGAATTTTTTATTTTATTTTATGTATTTAATTTCATGGAGGTAATAAATCACAATAACAAGTTTTTATTGTACATAACAAGTTAATAACTTTCTCCGTAGCATATATATCTATGTCTACACTATTACTCTACACTATTACTAAATGTCCAAAGAATTTCAGTGTTTCAGTATTTATTTATTTATATAAAAAAATATTTATTAATTGATATATTAACAGTATAGAAATAGTTTTTATAAAAATAGTCGCTATAAAACTTTAAAAATTACTTAATAAAATCCATCACAATAAAATATTTATTAATTGATATAAGAAAAATAATTATTGTTTATGGATAATTATCACTATATAACCGGCTCGACCCAATTATAATTATGTCATTATTAGGAGACGACACATGTCATCATCCTATTAATCCAAGAAGGCTATAAATAAAGGCATGGAAGAATGAGGAAGGGTACAGAATTTGAGAATTCTAGAAATCTAGAATTTCAGAATAAAATACAGAAGCTCTGTAAAGAGTTTCAGTATTTATTTATTTATATAAAAAATATTTATTAATTGATATAGAAAAAGTTTTTATCTATATCTATACTATTATTAAATGTGCATATTTTAGTATTTATTTATTTATATAAAATAATATTTATTAATTCATATGAAAAGAGTTATTATAAAATGAAAAAAAAAAAAACTCTATACAACTCTAAAATCTACCTAATAAAATTCAAATTAACCTATTTATCTATTTATTATTATGAAATTTTAATAAAAAAATCTAATGAGACAAGAATTATTAATATAAAAAATATTATTAATTAATCTATAAAATAAAATAATTTTTCTAAAACTCTACCACAAATTAGCTTTTATTATGAGTTTTTAATAAAATGAAATCTAATTAGACAAGGATATATTTAAAGAAAATAAAATAATTTCTATGAAACTCTATCACAAATTACTTATTTTAATTTCAATAAAACTCTATCACATTAGACAAAGATATAGTTAAAAGTTTCTATAAAACTCTAACACAAATTATCTATTTATTTATTTATTATTAGTTTTTTTTATAAAAGAAAATCTAATTAGACAAGTATTATTAATATAAAAAATCATTTATTAATTAATATAAAAAGAGGTTTTAAAATAGTTTCTATAAGACTCTAACATAAATTACCTATTTAACTATTTATTATGAGTTTTTTAATAAAAAGGAAATCTAATTAGACAAGAATTATTAATATAAAATATATTTATTAATTGATATAAAAAGATTTTTAAAAGAGTTTCTATTAAACTCTAACACAAATTACCTATTTATTTATTTCTATTAACTCTAAAATCTATATAATAAAATTCAAATTAACCTATTTATCTATTTATTATTATGAATTTTTTAATAAAAGAAAATCTAATTAGATAATAATTATTAATATAAAAAATATTTATTAATTGATATATAAAATAAAATAATTTTTTCAAAAACTCTACCACAAATTACCTTTTATTATGAGTTTCTTATTAAAATGAAATCTAATTAGACAAGGATATATTTAAAGAAAATAAACTAATTTCTATAAAACTTATCACAAGTTACCTATTTTATTTTCAATAAAACTCTATAACACAAGATAAAGATATATTTAAAGAATTTCTATAAAACTTTAACACAAATTACCTACTTATCTATTTATTATGAGTTTTTTCATAGAAGAAAATCTAATTAGACAAGTATTATTAATATAAAAAATTACTTATTAATTTATAGAAAAAGATGTTTTAAAAGGGTTTCTATATAAAACTTTAAAATCTACCTAATAAAATTCAAATTAACCAATTTATCTATTTATTATAATGATTTTTTTAATAAAAAAATCTAATTAGAAAAGAATTATTACTATAAAAAATATTTTTCAATTGATATATAAAGTAAAATAATTTTTCTAAAACTCTACCACAAATTAGCTTTTATTAAGAGTTTCTTAATAAAATAAAATTTAATTAGACAATGATATATTTAAAGAAAATAAAATAATCTCTATAAAACTCTACCACAAATTACCTACTTTATTTCCAATAAAACTCAATCATACGAGACAAAAATATATTTAAAAAGTTTCTATAAAACTCTAACACAAATTACCTATTTATCTATTTATTAGGAGTTTTTTAATAAAAAGAAATCTAATTAGACAAGGGTTATTAATATAAAAAATTATATATTAATTGATATAAAAAGAGGTTTTAAAAGAATTTCTATAAAACTGTAACACAAATTACCTATTTAAATATGTATTACGAGTTTTTTTAACAAAATGAAATCTAATAAGACAAGAATTATTAATATAAAAAATATTTATTAATTGATATAAAAAGAGTTTTTAAAAGAGTTTCTATTAAGCTCTAACACAAATTACCTATTTATTTATTTATTATGAGTATTTTAATAAAATAAAATCTAATTAGACAAGAACTATTAATATAAAAATATTTTTTAATTGATATAAAAAATAAAATAATTTTTCTAAAACTTTACCACAAATTACCTTTTATTATGAGTTTTTCTTTTTAATAAAAGATAATCTAATTAGTAAAGAATTATTGATATATAAAAATATTTATTAATTCTTATAAAAAGACTTTTTAAAAGATTTACTATAAAACTCTAACACATATTACCTATTTATCTATTTATTATAAGTTTTGTAATAAAAGAAAATAGAATTAAACAAGAATATAATTAAAGAAAATAAAAAAGTTTATAAAATCTACCACAAATTTGCTTTTTTATTTTCTATAAAACTCTATCACATTATCAATTTATTATAAGTTTTAAATAAAATAAAATCTAATTAGAGAAGAATATATTTAAACAAAATAAAATAATTTCTATAAAACTATACCAAAAATTAGCTATTTTATAAACTATAAAACTTTATGGCATATAACTTGTATTTATCTATTTATTATGAATATTTTTATAAGAAATAAAATAATTTCTGTAAAACTCTACCACAAATTATCTATTTTATTTTAATTAAAACCCCAACACATATAACCTGTATTTATCTATTTATTATGAATTTTTTAATAAAAAGAAATCTAATTAGACAAAAATATATATTTCAAAAAATAAAATAATTTTTTAAAAGAATTTATATAAAACTCTAACACAAATTACCTATTTATCTATTTATTATGAGTTTTTTAATAAAAGAAAATATAACTAGATAAAAATCATTAATATAAAAAATATTTAATAATTGATATAAAATATATAAAAAAAAAATTTTAAAACTCTACCACAAATTACCTTTTATTTTGAGTTTTTTAATAAATAAATAAAAAATCTAATTAAACATGGGTGTATATATATTTAAAGAAAATAAATAATTTATATAAAATTCTACATAAATTACCTATTTTATTTTCAATAAAACTCTACCACATTAGACAATGATATATTTAAAGAATTTATATAAAACACTAATACAAATTACCTAAATTCTACCACAAATTAACTATTTTATTTTCTTTAAAACTCTATCACATCACATATTACAAATTAGTTTTTATTATGAGTTTCAATATTTCAGTATTTATTTATTTATTTTAAAAAATATTTATTAATCGATATAAAAATATTTTTTATAAAAATAGTTTGTATAAAACTCTAAAAATTACTTAATAAAATCAATCACAATAAAATATTTATTAATTGATATAAAAAGATTTTTATAAAAATAATTTCTGTAAAACTCTAAAAATTACCTAATAAAATCAATCACAACAAAATTTTGATTAATTGATATAAAAAATATAGTTATTTTTTATGGATAATTATCACAAAATAACCGGCCTGGCAGTTATTATTATGTCATTAACAGGAGAGGATACGTGTCATCATCCTATTAATCCAAGAAGCCTATAAATCGAGACATAGAGGAAGGAGGAAGGGTACAGAAATTGAGAATTCTAAAAATTCAGAATTTCAGAGAGAAATTCAGAGGGGCATAGACTCAAAAGTCCAGAATTTCAGAAGTTCTACCAAAGAGTTTCAGTATTTATTTATTTATATAAAAAAATATTTATTAATTGATCTGAAAAAGTTTTTATTAAATAAAAATCTCTATAAATCTCTAAAATCTACCTAATAAAATTCAGATTAACCTATTTCTCTATTTATTATTATGAATTTTTTAATCAAAGAAAATCTAATTAGACAAGAGTTATTAATATAAAAAATATTTATTAATTGATATATAAAATAAAATAATTTTTCTAAAACTTTACTACAAATTAGCTTTTATTATTAGTTTCATAATAAAATGAAATTTAATTAGACGAAGATATATTTTATGAAAATAAAATAATTTTTACAAAATTTTATAACAAATTACCTATTTTATTTTCAATAAAACAATATCACATTAAACAAAGATATATTTAAAGAGTTTTTATAAAACTCTAACACAAATTACCTATTTATCTATTTATTAGGATTTTTTTTAATAATAGGAAATCTAATTAGACAAGTATAATTAATATAAAAAATTATTTATTAATTGCTATAAAAAGAGGTTTTAAAAGAATTTCTATAAAACTCTTAACAAAATTACCTATTTATCTATTTATTATGAGTTTTTTTAATAAAAAGGAAATCTACTTAGATGAGAATTATTAATATAAAAAACATTTATTAATTTATAAAGAAAGAGTTTTTAAAATAGTTTCAATTAAACTCTAACACAAATTATCTATTTATTTATTTATTTTGAGTTTTAAATAAAAGAAAATCTAGTTAGACAAGAATTGTTAGTATAAAAATTAATTATTAATTGATATAAAAAAATAAAATATAT